TATATATATATATATATATATATATATATATATATTTATATGTCAAAACACCATAACCAAAGCAAACTTATGCTTAAAGATAGCACATAAAGTCACTTAACAAAGAGTACATAACAAACAAATATCCTTCCATCTTTAAAAATAACACACCAAGAAAGATAATTAACCAAATAAGAAGTCAAAGGACATATTAAAATAGTTAATTCCATGTTTTGAGTTATCAAAAAACTGAAATAAAAAAAAGTTGAAATATTAAACTGAAAAAAAATTGAAATACTAAAATACTAGAATAAGAAAAAAATTAAAATATTAACTGAAATCAGAAAAAAAAAACTGAAATATTAAAAAAATAGAAGAAAACTGAAAATTTAAAAGTATATTATACGGAGTACTTTATAGTTTAATGAAGAGTAAATTATATAAAAAGTCCCCAGTTATAGGTCATTTTACATATTTAGTCCCTACATATCAAATATTACTAATTTAGTCCCCAATTATTATATTTATTTCCACGAATGGTCCTTTATTAACATTTCCGTTAAGAACGTGGACAAAATTGTATATTCATACTTCTCTCTCCTCAATTAAGCTTCCTCCATCTTCTCATACTTTTTCCCAAACTCGTCGCTGAGTTTGAAGCTATTAAACCCAAAACTAAAATGATCGTTCCTCCAGTTACACAAACAATTGAGAGGAGAGTGATGATTTTGGTTTAGGGTTCAAAGATAGAAACTCAGCGACGGGTTTGAAAAGGAGTGCAAGGGAGGAAAGAAGTTTAATTGAGGAAAGAAAGGAGTATGAATTTATAATTTTATCCACGTTTTTAACGAAAATGTTAATAAAGGACCATTTGTGGAAATAAATATAATAATTGGGGACTAAATTAGTAATATTTAATATGTAGGGACTAAATATGTAAAATGACCTATAACTGGGGATCTTTTATGGAATTTACTCTTTAATGAACCAAATCAATGAAAATTAAACCAAATAGAGTATACTTTAATGATAACAAAGTAAAAGAAATCTTACCCATGGAGGAGAGTCACTGCTGGAGGCTGATGGAGGAGAATCGATGTAGGAGAGTCGCTGGCTGGAAGTCGCGGAAGTCACCCTGGAACGGGAAGCCTAGAGTCGCGAACCTCCAGACTGCCGATTGGGTCGGGTCGGGTTGGGTCGTCGGGTCGGGTCAATTGAATTAGGTCAAAATCGGCCAATTTTTTTCACCGATTAGGCGTCGCCTAATCGCGGCTAAGCGTCGCTAAGCGCGCTTAATAGCCTAGTCGGCCATAGGCGCTAGTCGTACAGCAAATCTCCATGGCAAAACCGCCCGGACGACTAGTCGGCGACTAGTCGTGGCCTAGGCGACGACTTGACAACCATGTCCATGAGAACCACAGAGAATTCATTGAAGCCAATTTTTTCCAGACATTGGCGTATGAATTGCAGACTAGGCCGTCCATAGAAGAAGGTACCTACAAGTGCTCTAGAAAACCTTTTGGCAAGGGCCTGGACTTCTTCATTGGTGAAAGCTACGCAGGGTAGACCTTTGTATTTCTCAGGTGGGTTTTCAGTGGGCAAAAACACAGGTTCTTGATGGCAGTTGTTCAGTGCTTGGAGGAAGTTTTGGGGGGTTGAGTATGTGTGGGAGGGGAAGTGTTGGCTGGGGTAGGTGTGATGAACGAGGAGCAGGACGGAGTAGCCCTGCCGGCAGCTCCGCCGGAGGTGGTGGCCGGCATAAGAAGGGAGAGAAATCTTAGATATATATAAATATATATATATATATATATAAATATATATATATATATATATATATATATATTTATATAAGAGGTAAAATCATTTCATAATTTAAAATAATATAATAGATATAGTACATTTTTTTTGATATTTTAATTTTACTTAAAGAAAAATGCAAGTGTTAATATGAACTTAAATTTTGTTTAAAATCAAAGTTTTAACCCGCTGGGTCGACCCAAACCGAATGATAATGGTGATGAACATATAGTTCCCTACTTGAACCCGCATTGACCCGAACATGAAGTAGTATGAACCCGAAGTAACCTGAAATTTTTAAAAATGAAGTCATCAGTTGTTGGGCCAACCCAGAGTCCGAGACCCAATTATAAGAGGAGGGTGTGGTGTTAATATTCCTTACCTTCCGTCTTATACAAGTGAATATGATGATCTTGCAAATATTCAACTAAACAAACCATTTGAACACAACACCAATGGCAAATCTTCAAAGAAAAAGTGTAGTTTTAATATTTTAAAAAAATCAGACTTTGAACTGTTTGCTAATGACTCAAATGAAGAGTCCACTTTTTAAAAAGCAAAAAAATAATATTAAAGAACACACCTTTTATTTTTCAAAACCCACAAACCCTGGCACACTGGGCAATAGATGTTCTAACACTGTCAAGGCTGCAAACATGCCCACTGGGATGTATTCCCTGCCAAATTACAACTAAGATCAATTAGCCAACAAAATGTCCTAAACCATGAACAAAGCTCACTCAGAATGGAATAACTTTTACATGAGGAACCATATACAACCTACCACTGCATTTTTTTTCTTTTTATTTATATACCAGAGTGCAGTAGCATAGATTATGAACTTTCATTAATGAAGGGCATATAGAAGCAAAATCCAAAGCTGCAGCATGAGTTCTCGTAGAATCCATTTCTCACTTCCAAAACCTATAAACATGAGGAATCATAAATCAAAGTTAAAAGATATGGTTACTATTAATAGGAAAACATATAAATAAATTAACACTTGTAAAACTGCTAATAGGTCATGTGGTATACTATACAAAATTAGACCTGTATACTGTGGGCTATAAGATTCCATGAGGTCAATTCTTACTCTTATTTTCATTTCTCTTTAATATTATTATCTTAATCTCCCCCTAAATAAAATTCACTTATAGCATTCACACATTAAATGATTAAAAGGGGTAGTAGTAGTTGCAGGACTGTAAAAAAAAAGTAGGAGTAATCTTCGTCCATTCATCTTCAATTACACAAAATAGGGCCAGCAAAATATTGACAATTAGGTAAAAGTACGGGGCAATCTTGATTCTTGGCTGGATTGCATTTTTGCAATTTGTCTAATTAGGGGTATTGATTTGCAATTCAATCAATAAGGGGTGCTGAAAGAAGAAATATGATCTCACAATCTAACCAGCAATCCTAATAACCTTGGAAAGAATAAGCAATCAAAATATCAGCCCTCTTTGTTTAACTAAAAGCTAGACGCGGAATAATAGATGCAGATATGAAAGACGAAAGAATTGTAAAGCAACACAAAGAAAGAGTGCAGATATGAATCCCGCAATGATTGATTAAAAGGCTAAGGTGCAGTAGGGCTTTAGCTTAGTTGAGAATGAAGAATGATCAGATGATATTTTTTCCTCAAAATTCTTGAAATAGGAAACTAATCAGATTGGATTTATATTTCTGAAGAGTGAACAACAAAGGCATAAGAAATGGTTGTTTTTGGTGCTGCCTGCCCTTCACAATTTAAATACAATAGTTTTAAGAAAAGGTCATAAAGAAGAAGATAATACCTGATGGGTTAGGCGGAGGTCCTCGATAGATGCACCATGACTGGTGAACGGGCTCAAACTTGTCAAAATGCGTCCAAAATTGAATCTGGAATCTTTCTTCTTCGTACTGGCTCATTCGTGCACAATGGGTTTGGCTAATTCTGAGGGTCGACCGATGGGTTCCGGAAGCTGCTCACCGGAATCGATGCTTGACGGGCCGGTTTCTTGAACTTCTCCGGTCGCATAGGGGAACAGGCGCCGGTTAAAGCATATGAAATGGCGTTTTTGGGTGGCATCTGATTTTCAAGGCCGAATGTGAAACGCTCTTGTAAACAATAAATCCACCTCAATGGCATGTCACCTCCATCTCACCTTCCACGTGTCACCCTCACAATGAAATAACCCTACTTTAATTTCTGTTTTGTGAATGAATACTTGGTGACCAAACTATATGAATATTCTAAGGCATAATGTGTAGTGAGTAGAAATAATCATTTTTTAAGTCTCTTATGTCATTTCTTTGAATTGTGGATTTCAGATAGATAATAGTGTTTTAGGGTACATTTTTAAGAGCATTCTTTTTTTAATAAAGAAAGGTAGAAGGGTAGAGGAGTTAACGATCCACCCGATGTTTGTTAAGGGAAAAACCTGATGTCTGTTAGGGGAAAGGGGAAAAAGTAAAAGGAAAAAAATTTGAACACTATAACGAAGTCCTTGGTTTGAACGACATTGGAACATGATAGAGGATGCTAAAATATGTAACCCTTTTATTTCTTGATAGAGTAAAGTTTCAGAGATTATAGTGAAAAAATAAATTCAAAACAACAACTACCATTTGAATTGCTGATGGTATAAACCAAATTTCAAATAATATCATAAAAATTCAGAAAGTGTATTTTGAAATAATGGTAAGGGTGAAAAGTATTTTCAACATAGTCTTTAAGAAATCTTGACAGTATTTAGAACCACAACAAAAAACAAGAAAGTAAAACGCAATTGCCTTAACTCAAAACACGACCTAGAGTCTGACCTAAAAATTAAAATCCAACTGATTGTACCCGCAAACCTAACGCAAATTTGATTGTCAAACACTAAAGTTAAAAGTCAACCTAGAACCTAACCCAAAACCAAACCAAAAATCAGGTCCAATCCCCAAAGTAAGAAACAAAATCCCTACCCAGAACCTAACCCAACAACCAATTGCAGGGGTGCATTAAGCTATTCCCATGTTTAAAAATTGTGAATAAGTACTATAAAATTGTGAATAAGTATTGTCAAGTGGGAATCTAAGACTTACGATATACAAAGAAATGTGGCACCATATAAGAGCATGCATTTAAAAACATGCAATTCATAAATCTAAAATTAGCAACTCAAAATCGCAAATATCCAAGCTCAATATAATGTAATAAATATATTTATACATGAATATGCATACTATATAAATATGATGAATTTATGTTTTACAATATAATGGAAAAAATACTGACCTCTTACATAATCCAATATAGAAGACATGGCAGAGAGATAACACGAGTCTATAGATAGAAAAAATCAAAGGAAGTAATTTGAGCAGAATACATATCTGAATTTGAGTACTCTTGAATACATGGAATTTAAATTACCTGAAGAATAATTTTCCAAACTGTTGCAGGTTCAGCCCTACCTGTAGGTGAAAATGACAGTTCTTTCAGTAATAGAAAGAAACAACAAAGAGAAGAACAAGCAAAAGAACTCATAAGATTATACCTACGAGGAATTTTGGAAATGGTGTCTCATCCCATCTCCCAAAATCGAAAATAAATAGCCCAATGTACACGCTGAAATAATTGGCAGGGGAATATTAAGGGAAGGATCCATAAATACAAGACGAGGAATCTGAGAAAACGTTTCAATCATACCGGGAAATCTGCAAGACAGTAAAACGCAATTGCCTTAACTCAAAACACGACCTAGAGTGTGACCTAAATATTAAGCACCTATTTGTAATAGTGTGGTTTTGATTAGAGTGCAGCAGTTCATATTAAGACAATTCTTTTTTGGGAGATATTTGACAAAAAGAGGAAAACCAATACCGGTACAAGGTAAAATTTCCATTTTGTTGATTGGTGGAGGCGTTGAAATTTCCATTTTGTTGAAAGTACCGCCAAGCTCCAGCCAATAAAGAAGACTCGGCATGAACCCTCTCATCAAATAGGACATGAAAGAGGTTAATAAATAGGAAAATCTCTTACCAAGGTAAATATTGTCAAATTGACTCTCCAGCCAAGTATATATGTAATATTTTTCGTTATTGTGTTGTGTTTAAATTTTAAC